GTAGAAGGAGCAGTAGTAGCACGAGTAGTGAGTAGTGACCCTGCCACGGCCAGTAAAGACACCAATTAAAGCAACACATGCTGAGCAAAGGCAACATGCTTGCAAGCGACAAAACGGCCGAGACCCCAAGCAAGACTAACAGCCACCACAACTACAACCACAACCACAACAACGACAATGAATCTTGCACTTGTTCGGAAACTGATTGTCTGCACAAATGCATGCAGCCGTTCGCTGACACCCAGGTCTTAAGCCTAACATGACTTGAGACATTGCGAAAACCCAAAAGAAGCTGCATCTTATGCACCTGTTGTGCCTGTCGTGGCATGTTTGTATTTTGTCGGTGCCATCGTTTGTCGGCTGTTTGCACTCAAAAATGCATGTTCAACCCGGGACGCGTCTTGAGGTCTGTCATTGATCTTCAAAACACCTCCATGGTGAGTTCATTGTTGTCATAGTTGGGATAGAATAAGGAATAAAACTTCTATTCCCCACTTAGACAAAGAGAAGGGGCCGATCTCTTACCTTCGAGTTCCCAGCCACCGACAATGCAACTTCCTTTCTGGTCTCAACTACGATTTAGGGTTGAGGGTTTAGGGTTTAGGGTTGTCTCAACAAAGGAAGCAGGCGTCGGTTCATGCACTTGAGACAAGAGATGCACATGTCAGTTGATCATCTGCAAAGGAAGAACCTGTACTGTTCTGGAGGTGGCTCCCAACGTTAGTCTAGACAGGCCTGAGAAGAAGGGCGAATGCGAGGTGCCGTGGATGACGCCGTTGCGAGGATCCGTCTCTGAAGGTCCTGCTTGGGGTTGAGCTAAGGAAGTACCGTAAAATACCACAGCCTACTTGGTTGTAGGCTCCTGATGTAGCACTTGACACAGAATGCGAGTGAAACCACAAAAACGTAGATTGTAGTCTAAAGTAAGTTTAGGAACTTTGGGATCCGAATCTCTACGCACCGTGCACTCAATCCGTACCAGCCCATAGCGCACCCTAAACCCTAAACCCGACAAGCCCCAGAATGTTCACACGGTTTGGGGTTTAGGGTTTAGGGTTGGGGTTTAGGGTTTAGGGTTTAGGGCAGTTCTTGAGCCAAGAGGGGCATTTGAGGCTTAGAGTCAGAGCCTGGGAGCCAAGTGAGGTGTTTGAGGGTTACAGTCAGAGGTTGGTTTGAAGCCCATGCTAAACCCTGTCGGATTGAGCAATTCAAAGCTTAGGGGCTGAGTACCCTAGCCCAAAAAAAGTTAACCTTTAGGATTATAAGAGCCCCAACAGGTTAAGGGTTACCTACCCAGCCACTAAGTTAAAGTCTTGTGTCCAGGAGTTTCGGGGTTAGAGTTGGGCTTTGGCAGGAATATGACCCTAAACCCATGTGTGTTTGGACACAAGCTCTGCAGCCCTTAAAACCTCGGTGCATTCACGGTTTAGGGTTTAGGGTCCTGGCTTTGTTTGTGAGGGTTTAGGGTTTAGGGTTTAGGGTCCTGACAGACAGCAGCTTGGACAACTGTGCCCGAGATACCATAGGATGGTAGGACTATGAGCAGGCCAACCCCCTCTGTCCCCAATGCCAAGCTATGTAACGGCTTAGGGTTTAGGGCTTAGGGTAACTATGTACCACTTCACCGGTTGAGTAAAGGAGCCTCATTCAACTGCCAGGAACAAATACGGAGTAGGAAATCTTTCCCTACGCAGGTGCCTTGCTTGTAAAAAGCACAAAAGGCCAGTCTAAAATCCCATAAACCGTGGTCACTGGCGAACACCCTTATGAAACCTGTGAAACTTCGCCCTATAAACCCTGCAACTTCGTACAACACTTTCCATTTTCAGACTACAAGCCCTCGAAACATCATGTACAACTGCCCTAAGGGGCCATGTGCCCATATAGTGTATACCTCAGCTTCAACGTAGGTCTTTGGGGTGCTTGAGGGTCCAAGTATATTATATCAACTGGGCACATGGATCCTCAAGGCTGTTGACAAACAAACCCCAAACCCGAAAACCAAACGTTTACGTAGGGCTTATAGGGCTGAAAGGGCTCTTTACAGATTTCTAAACAGGCTTTCTCATGGGTTTTTGTAAGGCTGTAAAAATCCAGGTTAAAACCCTCAACCCTAAACCCTAAAGCCTAAACCCCCTAAAAGCAAACAGCTGAACTAGCTTTGATCATCTTTCGCCAGCACCTGGACCACACCGCCTCAGATCATAGACGGGATTTACTTGGACTTAAACAATACCTAGCGACAAACCCAGAATATAGCCTACAATTGGAGACTGCGCCGACGCGCTCGCCCGCTTTGTTCAAAAGACACGCAAACGCACTTGGATGTGCATGGCAACCGTAAAAAAACCCTAAAATGACCGGAGGTCCGGACTCGAGGTCGTCGTTCCAGTACTGCGGATAGTGGGCCGAACTTCTGACGCCCATCACAACCTCTGGGTTTAGCGTTTATAGGGTTTAGGGGTTTAGTATTTCGGGGAGTCAGGGGGTTTAGGGTTTAGGGTTAAGGAGTTTAGGGTTTAGGGCTGACTTCAAGGGCCTTGATAACTAGACTGAGGTTTTTTCCGGCACAATACAATAGGACAAATTACACAGGGACGATCACAGGATACTAGTTCTAGGTTCTCCAGTAACCCCTGAACAATAAGGGTACCCTTTCTCTCACTATTTAGTTTTAATAAGGGGAGACCCCAAAACCAAAAAGTTGCAAAAGGGTACTACTGGGGTACCTAGATTTCTAGATCCTCGGACAAGTACCCTAAACCCTAAACCCTAAACCCTAAACCCTTAAACCCTACATGTTCCGGGGGTTTTTGGAGATCGGGGTTTCGGGTGACCAGAATTTAATCTTTCAGGTCCACGGTTTAGGGTTTAAGGTTTAGGAATTGAGGCTTTTAGGGTTAAGGGTTTAGGAATTGAGGCTTTGAGGGTTTAGGGTTTAGGAGATAGGGCTTCGGGGCTTCAGACAAGAAGCAGGCGTTACTATTTACAATTGTTCAAACAGGTTTGCTGTTTGATACGGTCCAATAGTACTAGCAACTTGAATAGTAGTCTCATTATCTATAGGGACACGTACGGCAAACGCTCGCACTAATTATTCCGGTGCCATCGATGTTTTGGTGACACCCCTCTACTAGGATCCCTAGTAACCTAGGAATAAAAGGGCTCCCTAGTCACGTAATTAGGGAGCCTAAGACCAGAAAGAGGGTAAAGGGACCACTATTCCCCAAACCCTAAGCCTTATAAGCCTAAACTCCAAACCCTGAACTCTATGTTTTGGTGACATCCCTTTAAGAATCGAGCCGCAGTCGCCCAACGCAGGGCGCAACACAGGGCGCTACGCAGGGCCCAGGAAGCTGGGGTGTCACTGGAGATTTCGAGGCTTCCGAACTCAACTGGGTTGCCGTTAAGGAACTTGTTTTAAGTTACCATAAAGGACATTTATTGGTATATGTATTCTTATATATATATATAGAGCAAACAATAAGGTTTCCTTTTTAGGAACTTATTTCGAGTTACCATGATGGGTATGTATAACAAATAATAAGGTTGCCTTATTGTAGGAACTTAGTTTAAGTTACCATGATGGGGATATGCAGTAAACAATAGAGCTTCCTTGTTATAATCGCTTAGCTCAGTTCAGGTGCCTTAACGGCAACCCAGTCAAGGAGAGTGGCGATCACACTGCCCTCTTGCTGGACCGTGGCTTGGATTGATCCTTCGGCGACGGCGGACAGGGTTTGGATCTTGACCCTCTTCTTGCTGATGGATGGAGGCCACGGGTTTCAGGCAACGGGGTTGGCCGCGTGTCCCTCTGACTTAGTCAAAGCGATGTTGCTCTTGATACGATCTTAACTCCGGGCGGCCTTGTCCCGCCATTCGCCGGTCAAATTGCACTCGAATGTGGTAGCAAAGCGCTGCTCGCTCGATGAGACCAGGAAGGCCGTAGTCTCTTCTACAGGCCTTTTGTTTTGGGTGTCCGGATTAGTCTAAGGCTTGGGGCTAGGCGTATCCTAAACCCTAAACCCTAAACCCTAAAGATTTAGGAATATAGCTCAACTTGGCCCTATCCCCGCTCCACACATCAAAACCCGAAAGCCTACCCACAGAATGCAGAGTCGTCCGAAGTACAGGCATCCTACTCCTAAACCACCTTAAACTGAGATCCTTTACGTTGAAGATGCTAAATGAAATACTCCTTAATCAATCTATATAAGACGCATGAAGGAGCCTAATAAAACACAACTCAACACTCGAATAAAAGCGTGCGCGTACATAAAACCTAGATGCATCGTACCCTAAACCCTAAACCCTGAATCCTAAACCCTAGACCCTGAAGCCTAAACTTGCCTAAACCCTTATAAACCCTAAACTCTGAAGCCTAAACCCTAAACCCTAAACCCTAAATCCTGAAGCCTAAACTGGCCTAAACCCTGAAGCCTAAACTGGCCCTTATAGATCCCTTTAAAGGATCCATTAAAGGGACCCGTAGCCTAAACCCTACAGCCCGGGAGTCCCAAATCACGAAAACCTCCACCCGAAACTCGAAAGCCACAGATCCTCAAATCCCTGGAAACCATACCTCTGTTCTTAGAGTTTAGGGTTTAGGGTTTAGGGTTTAGGGTTTAGAACTCTCTTCTTCAATAACCAGGCCCAAAAAAGTTCAAACTTTTTAGGATAGACCTAATATACAAAGCCATAAAGTTTAAAGTTCTCCTACTGGCTATCTAAGATACCTTAACCGCATACTAGTTTAATCTACCATTTTGAGCGCATGTATGGAAATCATACTAAGGAATCCGAAAAAAAGTCGGTTTCTTGGGGCCCCCAGGAAAGCCCGATCATGACACCCTCTACTTGGACGTTCATGGGACTTTATAAGTGCAGTTATAAGTAACCTAATCGGGGTTATAAGTACAGTTGCCTTATTTATGACCCTAATTGCTAAGTCCCATGAACCTTTAAGTACCTTGAACCTCTGCTCGCTGCCACCAAGTTGCCCTCGCCGAGCCGGGACCGTACATCCTCGCGGGTCAACAACTCGAGAATTGCAGGGGGTTTTCAGGGTCTAGGCTTCCCCATAAACCCTGAACTGTTTAGGGTTTAGGGGTTTAG